CTGGTCTAATAAAAAGCCTTAAAGGATTTGGATTCCTATCACTACCTTCAAAAGTAATGAATATTTTAATTTTACTCCTCCTAGTGCGTGGTATACAGTGTGAGCCATAAATAAAAATAAAATGAAATATCTCCGCATCGGTTCAATCAGATAGGCTGATTTTTAGGTTATTGGTAGAAACTTTACCTGTTATCAATTTTCAGTTATCATCCAAGAGAATAATAAGAATAAGACAAAACGAACGTTCTATATCCATGTACATAGAGTAAATTTTCGAACATGGAATATTGGTGTTGTTGGTATCCAAAGGGCTGTAATTGTGTGTTTTACTTATGGGACAGAAATTTAGAGCATTAAAACTGACTAGTGTTCTATGTAATTACATGGATATAGAAAGTTCGTTTTGATTTATGAAACACTATACATGTATTTTTTTACTTGATGATGGGTACAATTGCTTTCATGATACCTATAATAATACTTAATAGTAATGTTTGCTCATCTTATCTATATCAAAAAAAAAATTTTGAATAAATTTTTAGCAATAATCAAAACATCTGCCTATTTGATGAAGTAAAATTAAAATATTCATAACTTTTGAAGGAAATCATAAGAATCTAAATCCTTTAAGGTATTTTACTAGACCAGCAAACAGTATCTGTAGGCAAAAAAGTCATTGAAATCGGAGTGGGACATCTGAAAAGGTTTCCGCGCCAGTCATAGTTCTAGTCGCAGTTTGTTAATAATCATATGGATACCTTATCTTATTTTTCTATGACAACTTGAAATTTTCAATGACTCAACTTGAATCATATTTTTTTTTATTACATTGTGACTCATAGTTACATTAAAAAAAGAGTGTCAACTTACTTTAGTGTTTTTTTAAGTAATTCTACAATCATTTCAAGACCAATATGACTACCATTAAGACATAAAGTATTAAGATTTGGCCATTGTAATTCGACCGGTAATATATGTAAATTAGAAGGAAATGGATTGAAGCTTAAATTAATTGTTTTTACATGAGGTAATGATGAAAGAAGAAGTGATATCTAAATATTAATAAATCATATTATAAGAAAAACAAAGAAAAATAAATATACTTCATGCCAATCTGAGAATGCATTTGATGATATATCAACAAGTTCAACATGTGAACATGATATTGCTACAGCACGAGAATCACCTACATGAGATATACGTTCATCAGTTAAAACGACAGTTGATGCATTAAGAATAAGACCCGATTCTTAAAAATAAGAAGAAAAAAAATCGAATTAAATATGATTGAATTTTGTTTTATTTTATTTCTTTTTCGTACCTGTTTGTTTTGGTGATGAACCAACAAAAAAGACAATATCACAATCATTTTTAAGATCATCAAATGTTGACTCAAAATCACAATAACGTTCGTAAAGAGCATCTGAAAATGATCGACCAAGTACTTCAGTAGCAGCCATATTAATCTATAACAAATGATAGACGTTTATCCTATGTTGTCGATGTCTCCTGTCCTTGCTGTTTTCACTTATACACACTCGTTCTATTATCCGCTTTCCAATAACAGCAAGAGTAAAAAAAAAAAAGAAAAGACAAGGTCGCGTCTTTTTTTCTTTCTCGTTCTTCGTTCGTATACATCAATCATCAAATATGTTATGACGTACAATCTTGTCAGCTGACTTATTCCTCGTGTTAAGAATTGCGACCGCAAAATACTACGGAAGATTTAGCACGACTATAGTTATGCGGGTTCATTATTATATACAACAACGAAAAGAAATTGATTAAAAATGAATTTATGTCATATATACATAGTGTAAGATCAAATAAAAAAAAAAATTCGTCATCAAAGATAGAGAAAAAAAATAGAAAGTTTAGTCATTAACTCAGTTCGACGCGTCATCACTTCTATATGCATTAGCCCTTCACCACGCTTACTCTACCCCACCGATTGTCCGTTCTTTTCTTTTTCTTTCTTTCACTCTTCTGTCACTCACTCATTTAGACGAGCCATCAGCTTAGTTAGTTGTGCAATCCCATTTTTTTTTGTTCTTATCCTGAACATGCAAACTTAAATGCAGTGTGTGTATGTGTATATAATGCTTGATTCTTTTTTTGCCACACATTCATTACCACTAGCAACTATGTAATCCATCTATCGCTAGATTTTTAGACATAAGTAATAAAAAAAATAGCAGCAGTTACGTATGATATATCTATCGTATCAAAATATATTACTTACATTTGTTACATTAGATATCTCTATCTACAGATATATTATATCTAAGATAACGATGTTTTTAATGATAATTTGGTTTTTTTTTTTTGAAATTTATCAAATAATAAATAATTAAAAAAATGTTTGACAATGAACAAAAACTAAAATAAGAGACTACTCAAATGTAATTGGGATTACTAATAATGCATAGAATTCATAGCATAATTCATTTAGTTTTTCAATTGGTTATGAAACAATACGAAATATTTTGATTCCAATAGGATATGTACTAACATGAGAACATTCTCAAGTGATCTGCTCATGTTTAGATTGGATCGAGTGGTATACATGAAGATTTCGATTAGATGATTTCATTAGTTTTGAATATCGCATTGATAAGATATGAACTTCTCCATGTATCTAAACTTTTCTTTAAACGTTGTGTAAGATAAAGATTTATTGAGAAATCTATATCTTGAGAATGTGATATCCGAAATTGATGACACTTTATACATGAAATAATCTAATAGAAACCTTTATGTGTAGAAAACTTTTATAGGTTATACTACTGATCTCCTACATATTGGCAAAATGTGAAGGCAAACGGAGCAGACCCTAGTAAGACCTTCTTGAACTAATACAGCTGTCTGAAGGTTTTTTTTAATGTGATCCTAATTAATAAAATTTCTTTGTTTTACCAGACTATTTAATAATTTTTCATATAAGGTAAAGAATGAACAAGTAATACGAACAATATACCTAACACTCATTGTTTCATGAGGTAATTTCATAAAAAGTGTGTATGAAAAAATTAATCAACAGTATGTCATGAAGGTGTCAATAATTTTTACTAATATTACCACGTTCTTTTTCTAATCAAAAACAAAAAAAAAAAATTAGCGTACAGATTCAGAATTTTTCGTTATTGTTGAATACATTACAACGTTGCTTTTCCTTTGGTTAGATTCAAATAAATAACTATGATGAAAATCAACTCGATTATGCAGATCTTGATCAATGTATATATCTCATAAATTGGTGGTATATTCTTTGAGAAACAAAGAGATAATAACTAAAAGGAAAATATATTCTTTCTCTTATGTAATTTATTTAACAAACAAATTTCAAAAGTAAATATCATTTTTATTAATAGTCAAACATTCAATAAAATTTTTTCTAATAATAACATCTTAATATCAACTGTATCCGTATTATTCAAAAAAAAATTTTAATACAACTATTCACCATCACTATCGAATACAATAGTATCCAAAATTATTCGATCAGATTTTTTCTCCGGTGGTATAAAAACTAAGAAGAAGTCAAATGCTGATTTAAGTAGAGAATCCTCGAAAAACCTAGCAATCATTTTCATCTACGAAAATTCCTGTTGGAAATAAAATTCTCTGATCAAATTACTACTTGGATTCATCTTAGTGTTTAAGCCATGGAAAAAACAATTTAATCTAATAATTTTGAAAGTCATTATATATGAAATAATTAAATGATTTACTTTATATTTCTTTAGTAATATATTTGAATTATGTTTAAGTGTAAAAAAGTATTATTATGATTGTAATCTTTGTAATTAGATAAAATTTTTATAAATAAATTAATAAAATTAACTATTAATTAGATTCAATGATCTATAGATTTTTTTTTATTATGGTAAAAAAAAAATTGATAAAAATAATTATTCTCAATATATAGTATTATTATTCGATTAGATTAATTGAATTTCATATATAAGATAATTCTTACCTGAATGTTTCTTTTTCATTATTTAATGTTCAATTGAATAACAATATGTCAATAAAAAACGATCAGATGATTGTCATGTTTCATAGTGTATCAAATTCATAAACGAAATAGAAGTCTTTTATTACTTCAAATATAAAAAAAAAGACATTTTTTTTTCATTATAAAAATGAATCCATTTTATTTTAAAAAAATTTCCTAATGGAATTCACAAAGACTAAGGAGGTTACTGAACAACTATCATGGTGGAGAATTTAACCAATCAGACAGATATTGGTTAAAAAACATATGTTTGATATAATGTTTCTAACAACAAGAGTCCATCATGATGACAAAGTGCCCAAGACCCTCGATTTTGCACTTTTCTATTTATTGTATGTAAATTTTGAACTCCTTAATTTTTTTATTAGTCTAGATATATTTCATGTTGTGATTTATCGGATCCTTCGTGAGCGTATTTCTGAATTTACCCATTGTTATTGTTACTGTTATTTAATCCTTTGGCTCCCGGTCTTTTTTTTTGCGAAAATTAAAGTTTTTAAAAGTAATGTTTAAATATGATTTTTATTTGTTTCACAAGGAAATTATATATCTGTGTTAAAAACACATTAATAGTTCATCTTTGTATGACAGTCTTTGAAGCAATTAACAATACATAGAGGATACGTATATCGTGTATCGCATCGAAGACTATGGAATGCACGAAGGAAAATGTCGAGCAATTAAATGCAGAGGAGAAGGTCTTTATACTCGTTTGATACCATCTAACATATGATAAAAAGCTTTTCTAGACAGTCAAAAAAATATGCTACTGATGTCTTTATTCGATAAATAGATTCAGACGCATATACTTGCCGTTGAGAGTCAAAGGGTTAATCTAATTCTAATGATCCACACCTTGGACAGTTTGTTAGAAAAAAATAGAGTGTAGTATTACACTTTGATGGCAAAATTAAAATGTCATTTGAATTTTTGTTTTAGATTTCTATTAGAAACATTGGTTTTATATTCTAAAACAATAAAGATGACTCAACGTGTAACACCTCTTTCACGTCAAACATCAATCCTTTTATTATGTGATATGCAAGAAAAATTTCGTTCAGTAATAAAATATTTTCCTCAAATTGTTGAAACATCAAATAAATTATTACAAGCTTGTAAAATTCTCGATGTACCATATGTTGTTACTGAACAATATCCAAAAGGTAATATATTTCACAAAATTAACAAAATTCTATTTTTTTTTCATGCATAGGTCTTGGCCGAACAGTACCTGAATTGGACATTGGTGATACTAAACTATTCGAAAAAACTATCTTTTCCATGTGTACACCAGATGTTTTATCACATATCAAAGAACAAGTTAAAGGTAAAATTAGTAAAAATATAAGAAGTTCTCCGATTAGTTAATCGCTTTTGAGTCGAAACTATGTGCATCATGTAGATTATAACGCACTATGAATATCCTGAAAAGAACTCAAATCCTTAACTAATAGCTGCAGAGATATTACATTTTTATGAAACTTTTAAAGGCAATGCTTTGGTCTCTGACAGGAACACCGAGAAAACATATTTTCAAACTTCGACTTGAAATTTTGTACAGGTGTATTGTGAAAGTCCCAAGTCTTTTGATGTGCTCCTATCCTAAAATGAGAACATTGAATCTGCCAATGCATATGAGTGATTTTCACCATAAACTATTCTAATTAAGACTTGTCTCTGTGCAAAATTTCAAAGTCGAAATTTGAAAAATCAGTGTTCCTGACATAATTCTGACTTAAAAATGATTAATTAATTGAAAAACTTCTAAAGAATGATGATGATACTTCCTAATATTTTTTTGGTTCATTCTGATATGAGAGACGTTTGTCAGAAAGAAATAATACAGTGGAGAATTGTGTTACAAGTCTTTTTTTTAAATGTCATTGATTGTGTCTATAATAGAAATGTCTGCATGATGAAGAAACTTATTTTTATAATGATGTTTAGACAAACAAAGATATCATGTTTGTTGTTGATATTTAAAAAAATTTTGTTTTCCTATATAGATTTTAATACAGCTATTATCTGTGGTATTGAAGCTCATGTTTGTGTATTACAAACAGCAATTGATCTTCTATCACAAGGTTATCGTGTATATGTTGTTGTTGATGCTGTTTCATCTCGATCATTAACTGATAGGTATTTAGATTTCTTTTAAAAATTTTATGTAATTACATGATGATGATTTATAGAATGTATGCGTTTGATCATATGCGTCAAGCTGGTGCTTTTTTAACAACATTTGAATCAATTGTTCTTCAACTTACGCAAGATGCTAGTCATCCAAAATTTAAACAAATTCAACAACTTATTAAAACGTCTGCAGCTGATACAGGACTTTTTCCATTACAGAACAATCCGCATTCATCGTTATAAAGCGAAACATTTTTTTTATACTAAATACAAAAAAAAAGTTAACCTTTAATATATAGACAATTAAATCCAAATCAAATTTTCTTTTCTAATACAATCTATTTCATATTTAACTATAGAAAAATTTACTTAAAAAAGAAAGAAAAAATTTAAATAAATGTCTACAATGAAATATCATAGTGTAATTTAAATAAACTGCAAGACTTGATAAGAAATGATATCAATTGTAATGTAACAAGAGCCTTGTGTCGATACTTACAAAAAATCATTGCATATTGAATCCATTTATTATCAGACTGTATTGAAATCGGATTAGTTTGAACATTCAAATGTTGGGTCACCTCGGTTTCAAAGAAAGGCGAACCAATTTCGTCTCTGGAAACCCAGGAAATCTGGGAAGCGGGAAGGATAGCGGTCAAAAAGTGTGGTTTTTACTTGGATGTTCTTTATGAATGATTCGAAATACGAACAAGTTCTAACCTGATATACTCTCTTCTTTTTCTAATCAAATGTTAACAACTCGTCGAATAATATATGTGAAACTTGTGATTTATCAATGGCAATAAAACTTTTTTCAATGTGAAATCTCTTCATGTGAAAGTAATCAATTAGTGCCTTTTTGCAATATACGATTCAAAATTAATTCTACTGCATAATCATGTATTATAACTATTTGAGTATATATGAGAAATTTTGCCGAGAAATAATGCAAGATTTAATTGTGTTCTTAGCTCTCAAGTCTCATTTCGTTTGGAGTTTTTTTTTTTATTGAATATGATTATCAGTTGACCCTTCCAATTCATCTTTGACTTATATGATGATGATAACTTACACCGATAGATTCAAACTCAAAGCCCCTCTCTTTCGAACAATTCCATTATAATTGTTTGTCATCACTAAATACATTCAACTAAATATTCACAATGAAAAAACTTACGAATGAACTACCTCTTTATCTTGATTAGCAAATTTTATTTCAATTAAGATTCTAAGAAAGAAAGAAATTCTTGTCCATCCAACATGATCTCATCATGAGTGGCTATAGTTATAACAACATAAGTCATATAGAAGATTAAACAAATCAACTTTGAAGAGAAAGAGAATGAATTAATCAGAAACAAAAAAAAAACAATGAGATTTTCAAAGTAATAAAGCAAGAAGAATCATTATCTGGTAGTAATAACACATTAACATAGATATTGAGTAATTATTTTCATTGATCTCTGTACATACTAGATTCGAACAAGAGAAAAAGAACAACAAATCAATCATGCATATAACTAAATTCATTATTCGAAGCATATATTGCGACAAAATCATGAGCTCCAATAACATAAGCAACTGAGTTAGTTGCTATAATCGGTGTTGTATCAAATTCATAAATGCATGCTTGATCTGGGTCTAGGACAACTGATCATGGGATAACTTATCACGAACAACTGATCATGATCATCTGATGATGGAAAAACTGATCATGACGACAACTGATCATAGACAACTGATCATAAGGGATAACTGATCTTGAGGGTATGGGTGTGGATGTGGGTGTGAGTGGGTGTGTGGGGGTGTGTGGGTGTGGGGTGTGGGTGTGGGGGTGTGTGAGTGTCGGTGTGGGTGAGAAGCAAAATAGGTATCACACCCACACCCACAGCCACACTCACACCCGCACCCTCACCCACACCCACACCCACACCCACATCCACCCCACACCCACAGCCACACTCACACCCACACCCACATCCACACCCATACACCCACACCCTCTTTTATATTATAAACGATAACAGTGATCTCATGACCCTTCATGATCAATTTTCCTTTATGATCAGTTATTCATGATCAGTCGTCCGCCGTGATCAGTTGTCTGTCATGATCAATTATCCATGATCAATTGTCCGTGATCAGTTGTCCCATGATCAATTTCCTGTGATCAATTGTCCGTTCACCATTTTTCTAAATTATAGCAATGTCAAACATTTAGTGGGTTTCTTTACTGATGAAAATTTTGAAACAGTTTCGAGATTCTTTAAATTTTCCAAAAAAGAAACCATGACAGAAAATTCATTCTATTTCTCACATAGTTCTCTCTGTCCTATTTCATTCTTCCAACTTATTCAAATAGATCCTTTTATTGAAAGTTGTTTTGACTTACATATGGGAGATATTGATATCTACTTGGATCATTCGGCATCTAAAAAAAAAGAGTTATTATCTAAAAACCATCGTACATGTTGAAATGGAAATGCATGAAATAAAAATACAATGAACAATCAAAGCATTCACTATTGTAAAGCATGAATAGACTACAATCACAAATACAGACAGAAACAAAGAATTTTACTTCGACCACTATTATTTATCCTTGATTTTTATTTAATAAAGTGAACATATTGTTACTTAATACGAAAATACTATTTTTGTGAGAAAAACTATCACATTATTTTGGTTTATCTGTTAAGTCCAAGTAACGACATCTATATTAATAGTTCAAAGAGGAATTCGATGTAGAAAAACGAAAAATTTGATTTTGATTCGACTGTTCACTATCTCCATCAAGTGACATTTTTATGCATATGAATCATAGGAAACAAATGATGGTTCCGTATTAAATTTGTTTATTCAATACAAGACAAAATCGAGTATAAATGTATTGCGAACAAAATCATTAAAGATTTTGCCTGGAAAAGAAAGTACCTCTCTAGATAAACTAACCATTAGATAAAAATTTTCTTGAAAAAGAAAAACAATGTGATTATTGAAGAAAAGAACTATATGAAATTGGAATAAAAACCTGAGAGTTATATTTTGAACTAATCTGACGAAAATCAAATTGACATTGATTTTCTTGGCACATAACATAAAGAAAATATAAACAAATAATAATTAATTTTAATAAATCTATGCCAGTGTCTTACATGAATAAAATGTTAGAACATATATCTAGAATAAAGAATTCCGCCCCTTCAATAAACATATTCTACTACTCTATAAATACATCATAGTGATGATCAGCAAGGTCTGTTCCCGAAAACCACTCATATTATAAAATGAGCCTGTCAGACTGATATCTTTTGTATGTTTTTCTTCATATGTTTGAATCATATCATGAGGAATATACAGATTTTTCGATGAAGCCTTTTTCTATGATATATAATATGGACAGAATTAAAGCAAGAAGTTAATCGGTGCAATAGATAGCACGATTAGATCTGATTAACCTCAAGCCATTATCTAAACGACTTCCTGTTCAGAAACTGTTAAATCAATTTTTGTTAAGTCTAAAAGAATTAATGAATAAAATTAACAAAGATTCATCTTGGCAGAATGATCTCTGTTCATGTTCATAAGTTATAGATAATTCCTATTGTTATCTTCGTAATTTATAAACATGAGATATTTTTCGAACCGTTAAGTATTTGTTTTCAAGAGCTTTCTATAAACACAGTGTGGAATTCAATCAAGTTACCTTTATATTTACAGGAATCTTCGAATAATGTACAACAATGAGATGATTTTTCTCAATTTAAATAAAAATTAATTTCACAAAATACTTTTATTTATTTACTATTTTATTAGTAGTCTTACATAAAGAATATTTATACAATTATCACAATCTAATTTGTATTGCTTCTCCATTATCTTTAACATACGTTGTCCGTTCATCAAGAAGATTATTTGGAAATATTTGACGACGCTTTTCAATAATATAATGACGAGAAAATGGATTATCAAGTAATGTATTTTGACTGTAAGAAATTTTCAGATAAGATAAATGTTCCACATGACATAGAAATACTTCGATAATAGATACACAATGATCAAATGTAAAAACTATAAGTTCAATATCAGTAAGTGATGGAAAGCGTTGAACAAGTTTTAACGCAAATTTAGAAGGAAAATAAATTTTTTCTGTTATCGATGTAATCCTTTTAATTTGTTTGAAAATTGAAAAAAGAGATGGATTATCAATAAATTTTGATGAAATTAATAATGGAGTATTAATTTTAAGATTTGTTACATTCCGACATGATCTAAAATTAAAAGAAAACTTCAATTATTCTATTCACATTTACTATCATTGATTACTATTTGATACAATACAGTATATAACTTAGTTAATTATCAATGATATATTTATAGGAATATTTTAGGGAGTATTATTAATAAGATATCGTTAATTTAGAACGAGACACAGAACTAACATCCTAGATAAATGCCAAACGAAAAGTTAATTTCAATCTGTACAATAATATATAGGCCATTTCATTTGCTAGGAACGTGATTTGCGAAAAAAACAAGTGTATCTCGACAAAATGAGCTCTCCCAGAGTTGATTTTTAAATACTATATCTATGCTACCTTACTCTAGATACCTAAAACAAAAAAATCAGCGCTGGAAAGCTTTTCTCCGAGTTATTAGTGAAAAGGCTACAGTTAGGAATGTGACATAAAAATAAACGTCATCCAGTTTATGTATTTGTTTTTAAAACATCAGATTGGAGAAGCATTTTTTCAAATCTAAATACTACATATTGTAGACAACTCATGACCCTACAAAACCTCTATGGATACTTTTTCTTCTGATCACATCTCGATTTACTTTACGTGAGTTACGTAACGGAGTCCGAATATATAAACGAAATACTCTTCTAACAGATTCGAAGGTCGAACACAGGTTCAAACGATACAAAACCTAGCTCAGAGTCTCTGCATGATAATAAGACAAAAAATACACGTTCAGTACCTGTCAGAATCTCTATAAAACCGGTTTTTCGACAATTTTTATAGTGGAACATTGTTTAAAATTTTTTTATAGATGCAGCTCGTCCCGTAGGGTCCATCCCTGAAGTTTTCGAAATTGTTTTTGTTATATGGTTAGAAAGATTTTCTGTAACTATCTTTTAATTAACTAAATAATTTTAATAATTAGTAGAGTAGAAGAGGAAACATTTTTATATAAGTATCTGTAGTAAAAGAATTCATTGATAAAAATAAAACTTGTAGAGAACCACAGTCAACTTAAGGAACTAGGAGGTAGAGGTATGTCTCGTTATGCCTCATTGAGCCCATTTATTAACTGTATAAATATAGAATATACTCACTGAAGAATAATTTCAATATCATACCATCGAGATAAATCATAGTTCTTTGATGAAATTTCCAGTTCAGTTATGTTCGGTAAATGAACAAAATGTGAAAGATAAGTAACGCTTTTTTTTACGTCGATGTTATCATCATTCATTTCGTTAAAGTTAACTAAAGAGACAAATTATTTCATTTTGATAAGTTAGCTAAAAAACCTTCTTACAAATATTTAATAAACTTTTCCACAATGATAAATGTCTAATTGGCATATCTATGATGAGATGATTAATTTTTTTATATAAAGAATCTGGCCAAGTAACGATTGGTTTATTCTCTGTCAAGTGTATCCTTAAAACATTTATATCTGAATAAGAACGAGAATAATGATCTGATGTTGTTGTTGAATGTATATTAAATGATCCAAAAGAAATAAAAGGAATAATTATCTTTAAGTTTGCTTTATAATTGCAATAGCCAGTAGTTCGTAACATGATAAATTCCTCTAAAAAAACAAATACATCTGTAAATACGAGCAAAATCATTTTTTCTTCGAAGAGTAGATTTACAAAAATTTTACTTTCTGAAAATATTTCTTTGATTCACTTAGGTATCACTTCAACCCACCTTTTTCACTAAAAATTTGATTGTCCAAAAAAATCGTGCGTCAAGTACTTTCTTTTCCTAGGCTATTTATTTGAATCTGTAAATTGCTTTTATTTACCTGAACGACCAAAAAAAAACTTCCATCGCTGAACAATCATATTCCAATTAGAATATTTTTGTACAAAATATGCAAATGAATTGACAATAATATCTAAATCTGATATTGAATTTGTTTTTATAATCGATATATGAAATTCAAATTTAGATAAATGTGGAACACAACGTTCTAACGTATCTTGCCACACATAACCGTCGAGCAATTCAGCAGGATATGACCAGGTTGCTATAGCCATAGTAAAATAAAAGTGAGTAAGATGTGGCATACAGTGTAAGATAGAAGCAATTGAACGACTATCACATCTTACAAAGATAGTTAAATCAAAAGAAATCATTTGTGATAATATAGGAAGATCATTATAATTTATAGGTTTTGATGAAGTTGAGGTACTAAAACAATGGATATCATATTTAGTATTTTTCTGATGCAAATTTTGTTTTATAGAATATATTCACTAGTCGGAAACTTACTTAATAGCATTATTTTCATTTACAGCTTGATATGTTACCATGATTCCTAAATATCGAACTGAATGACAAAGCCGAAGCATTGATATAATTGAGTAAACTGGTAAGATTGATGATGAACTAGAAATACATAATTTAAGTGATACAAGATTCGAAGGCATCGAAGTTAAGTTTAATAGATGCATGTTATCATAATTAAATTGAAGTGAAATTGAACGAAGAACTGGTGATTTATGTAATAATATAATATTAGTTAGATTATGTTTATCTATTTCATTTATATTCTCACCATTTGGTTGATAAAGACTAAATGAAACAAGTCTATTAAGACTTTTGATTTGTTTAAAAACATTTTCAAGTATCGTTGTTGAACTAATTGAAACAAATATACATGATTCAAGATTAGGGAAATTATGTCGATTAAATAATATGCTAATAATAGATGTATAATCACAAATTGTATCAAATATTTCTAATGAAATAACTTGATCAGCATGATTTGCAAGATGAGAAGAAAGAAAATTAATTTGACGATAACAATGATCGGATAAGATAACAATACGAAGTGGAATCGATTGTAAAATAGACGAAATTCGTCGATTCAAACAAGTAAATGAAATAAATATCTCGAGTGCATGGAAATAATCAAATATTTCGAAGAAAATTTCATTTGATAAATCTTCCAACTGAGTATGTCTATTCATACGTATAAACAATGACAATTAACAATGATAGTAATTGTATTATGTTTCACTTTTATATTCTATAATAGAAGGTATTAAAAAAATGACAAAGTCAATGATAGAGAATATGTTATATATGCTATCGTCGATCGACAAGAGAAAGGAACAGTGAAGAAGTTGATCGTCCATTTAGTTTATACTTTTAAATACATACTTCATATACAATATTGGAGGCAAGAGAAAATGAATAATGGAATTGATCGTTAATTTATTTTTATATATGTATCAAACATATTCATTACAGATTTATTGACGATGTCTACTTTTGGAATTATTTTCTTATAATCATATACTTTCAATTCATAATGTAATCACAAACACAGAGAAGTCAAAGAAAAAAATCCACAAATAGTTCATTTGAAGAAAAACGTTGTGAAGCAAGATTAAAATAGTAAATTTGTCACAGTTTATCTATTATATAAGACTTGAATTAATGGTATTTAAGGGTCGCCCCCTCAAAAAAGTTAGTTTTCATCAGAATGGTCAAGATTGAGATAAATACATGGAGAGATAGCCTGTCATTTGCTCTTTCATAAACGATAAAAACTTTTCTTGGATACCTCCTTTTTTCCGAAAAATTTTCAATAATTTTGACGACCTCCATTCGAAAAATTCGAAAATCTTTTTCGTTTTTTCTCAAAATGGTGTTCCAATGACGCATCTCCAGCGAAAGTCAACTATAATCCGATATAAAGTCAAATATTTTTTTTTTGTTTGAAAGAGCATCAAAAACTGCAGTGCCTATGAGAGCCCTTTTTTTGATAAAGCTTTGCTATTATTATATTGACAAGCAATTTTATAATATGAACGCCGTTTTTTTTTTGAGAGGTTTTTCAGTGATTGAACTTGTCAGGCCTTTTTTCCTTCAGAAAGATAAGAGTTTAAAAAAAAGAGCCCTCAAAGACACTGCATCCGGACATGCTCTTTCAAACAAAAAAACAATGAAACTTATTGAATGAACACCCACAGAGAATTTTTGGAGACGCGATACGCTATTTTTCGACTCTTGTTTGGTTCGTATCTCCCTTATACATCAAGATAGGAGGCTGAAATTTTTACCAAAGACGTCCTTTTACAGACCCAACATATCCTCAAAGTTTCGTGGTATTTGGATGTTCCTGGGCTGAGATCGATTTTTGAGGGGACCCCTTAACTACAGGAGGTAGAACTGGAATTGTTTGTTGTTGAAGTGATGGCTGAATAGGACCTGCTAGTAATTGAACAACCGAATCCTCAATTGTAGCTCGACATAATGGACATTCTTTATTTTTTGCTTTGATATTCGATGCTAGACATTGAAAATGAAATTTGTGATTACATGACAAAGTCAAACGAGGAGCGCCTGGTGCAAGAGCATTCAGACATATACTACAATCGTCAAGCGTATTTCCTAGCGTTGCAGATTGAGAAGCGGGCAACATATTGTCTGTTTTTGTAACAATAGTAATTGTGAAAGAGAAAAATAAGTAAGTAAGCAATGATAAAAGTAAGATTTTTATACCCAAACGAAATGCAATAAATCAATTGCATCATACAATCCAAATACATGCTTTTGTTGACATTCATGATTCATTACAAATGTGATAACAGAATGATTCATTTCTTCGCGTGGGTCTAAATCTCGACTTGTGATCCATGTTTCGAAACATTTGTTTTTTACCACTAGAAATAAGATGAAATAAACCAAATTCAATTGTGTTATTGTTTGTATTAGTTAACAGAACACATCAAATAGTGTAAAGAAAATTCTCAACGGTCATATCATTCGACATATTCTTATTGGCTCTTGCATAAAAAAATTTCCTAATGAGTCACTTCACTCGGTATATTCTTATTGACACTTAAATGAATTTTTTCAGATGTTTCCCTGCGAAAGCTTTTCTTAGAGTGGATTTTATACAAGCGAACAACGCAACTAGATGATCAAGTTAAAATACTTGATATATTATTTAAACATATACAAAGATCTAACATGATTACCATTGAAAATGAATTATATCCAAAATGTCAACTCTTGGTACCGGTAAGGAAAAAACCCTACCGGTTACAATTCTGATCTGGATATTGACGATGAGAGGATCAAAACATCCACACCCTGCAAACATTTAGTATCGTTGGGAAGATTGAAGGTGTTTGAAAAGCAAAAGCCAGCGAATTAATATGTTTATCTAACGTAAATTAGATAGGGCAGAAATTGGAATAAAGATTAATAATTATAAAACCTAACGAAAATAATAAAAAGTTTTATTTATTTTTATTCATACAATGGTTTTTATTTAAGAAATGGTTGAATTATTGATGAACAATACATCTAATTTAATTGAATATATGTCAACATAATGCAAGGTAATTGTTGCTTATGGACTCAAACACTATGGTGAGATTATTTTTTAATTTGTCACATATGTTCTATTTGTAAATTTAGATTGTAAAATAATTCTATATTGGACAACAAAGAATAACTTGGATGCATACTATGGTGACCTTGTTTCTTCTTTTATTCTTTTCGGCTTTGATGCCGCCATTTCAAATTATCTACTTCACTGTTGACTTCTAGATTGTCATCAGATCCATTTTCGTTTTTGTTCATTTTACTTTCGATCCTTTTCAATGAAGACTCTCTGTTGCTGTTGTTGTATATTTTCATGATTACAGAATCGATTTCTCTCTTTTTTGTTCATAATTGCATAATAGTTATAGTTGTTCATTATATTTTTCATATTTTAATAAATTTTATAAAGAATTTTTAATAAATATAAACATAATGTATATTTATATCTGTATGTATAAAAGAAGCACGAGCAATCACACGATGCGCGTGTGTTAGCGGAGGAGGAGTGATAATACGTCCACCTACTACATGTAAAAAAGGAAGGCGAGAGTTTTGTAGAGCAGCTTTTGCTCTATCGATTGATACGATTTGGTAATGGCTTTGATCAATTTTTCATGGACAGAAATCTCATAAACTAAAATGAACTAAAGCTCATGGGCTTTAACACACTGGGATTTTGAGATAAAATAATTGAATTATCGAAGTATTAGAAGACTCTAACCAAAAATTGTAAAAATTTGAGTTTCTTGATAGCTTTTTATACTCTTTGAAAGTAGCTAGCTCGTTTCAAAAACTAAAATTTTTCCACAACTGACCTCGACTATGTTGAGTGATGAACCTACTAATCCTCTCTTTTAATTATCACTATTCAATTAATTGAATTCTTCGATTTCCATGGAAGTTATTCCCTACCACTGAATTCTTTAAATTCGTTAATTTCCTTGTATTTCTTCACTTCGATTGTAGTTAGAGAATGTTGCTATGTAAGTTGTTTAGTTTTCTTGAATTTCTTTCATGGTAGCCTGAAACGTCTAAGTCATTCACTTATGAATGCATTTTCAATTCCTCAATTTTTCTTCATTTTCTTTTGTTAGAGAGCACATTAACAATACTCATATTTATTTCTTATTTTCTTCTTCATCTTTGTTGTATGTGTTTATGTGTCTTCATTCTCTAGTGTGCGTTAACCACTCCTATACATATAAGTAATTTTGGTTTTACTTTTTCTTTTCTCTCTCTTCTCTTTTCTCTTTTCGTTTTCGTCTTTGATAATATTAATAGATTCTCAACCTTTTCTCCTGTTCTAAATTTAAGTGCGCTTTGAAAAGAGGATGCTTGACGTCATCCTCATCATTGCATAATCTAATCCGAAATAAGACAAGAACATCTACTATCCTCCTCCTTCTCTCTTCACCTCTTGCCTTTGTTTTCTTTCTCTCGTTCTTTGTATTTTTTATTTTTTTCGCTCACTCTTGTGTATATTGAAGACGTATAAATAACTACGAGATTGAATAATAAAAGGATTTTTTTTGTGGTCAAACGGAAAAGGAAAGAAAAACATTTTATTAAGTCTTTGTTTACAGAGAAGAGCCTCTGTAGCAGATTTATATTCTAATTTTAGAAATAAATGCACAGAAAAATTTTAAGATTCTCTTATCGATATCAAGTCTTTTTTTCACATGTAGCTATACAAGATCAATGCAATTCGTAGTGGATCCAATCTTCATAACACAATGCTAGTTACACGGGAAACAATTTTTTAAATGATTCGATAGAACACGGTAGCAATGCAACGTGTCTCGTTTGAGCTCGTTAGTCACATGTGTCATTAAATGAAACGTGAGCCTAATGATCCGCCTGCATTAACAAGCATCGAAAAATATAATCATCACACGAGTAATAGCGCTAATTTATCACTTTTTTTCTTTTATTATGGACGAACGATTTTGTATTTTTTCCTGTTTTACGTAGGATCACATCCGACAGATATACGAAATATTGTTTTAATAAAAAAAAAGGAAGAAAACATACGTGCGATGATGTAAATGAGTAATCGAAAAAAAACAAGTATTACACCATACGTATAAAATACGTACTTCTTGGTATCCACAACATTCATTTTTTTTTCACTATACATTGATTTTGATGACGACATACGCCGTGGAAGAGCAGACACAAGAAATACAAAGTAACTATACTAGTGACGAGAAAGCCAAAAGCTTGCCTTAGTCTACAATAAAAAGCACAACACCTTCACTGAAGTCCTCAGTTATTCATTATGAAATCTTTTTTAGGTAGAATTCCAATAGATGCAGCTACAGTGACACCATCAGTAAGTAGAATAAATTTAATTATTGTGTAGCAAATTTTTGATGCTGCACCAACGTAAAAGTAGTTTCAAACGAGGCTTTGGAAAATATCAATTTTAAAAATATAATTACGGCAAAAGACGAAATTTGAATGGAATTTCTACATTGAAATATAGGTCCCGTCACACAAAGCTACAGCTGTTGGTTCTCCAGAGGACTTTGAGAATAGCTGGCGATCAAAATTTTTGAAAATACCTGTGCTTATTCTTGGTATTGTTCAAGCAGTTCTAACATTACTCATAATCATCCTTGAAATAGCATCATTAGCTGTCTTTAACTATCAACCGACAGGCGCTGGCATCTGGTGTTCCATTTCATTCGTGATAGCAGCTATTTTAACTATCATGTTAGGTAAATATATCTAAAAGCAATACTTTTCAAAAAAAGCCAGCATAACATGTAAATCGATTGAAATGATTAATTTTTAGTATGGAAATGGGATGGATCAAGACTGTGGGCTACGCGAGTTTTTATTGCTCAAATATTTCTTCTTTTGTTCACATTCGTTCTGATAGGCATTGATGGTAATTTCATTTCATCGTACAGTGGTGCTTACTCTACAGTCAGCATCCCAGGTGAAGCCACATCGCAAGGAGCTGTCAATTTTAAGACAAAATACCAAATAATGCAAGCACAATTGGCATTTGCTATTATTTTAATGTTCACTCCCTAGTGAAGGTACTCATCAAGAGAGTACTCAAAAAGTACTCACGCTAGAAAATGCCGCGAGAACTCATGAGTACTCAAGGCTTTTGAGTACTCACCAGTAGTACTCGTGCTAGAATTTGAGTATCCGAGTACGACTATTGAGTACTTGCGCTAGAATCTGAGTACGACCATCGAGTACTTGCCTTAAAATAATGAGTGTTTCACGAGTACTCCTGTATAGTTTTTGAGTACTCTAGTCGCTTATGTAAAATACTCATAGGCCTACATTCTGTTCATTATCGTTGCACTATGTCCATTTTATTTTTTATATAAAATTAATAACACAAAATACAATACTACATATTGAAAATATGAGAGAACAATCAATACGAGAGTTACAAGTAATATTTTATCTGCATTAGTTTTTAACACAAATACTAGAGATAAAGAAATATCTAACTTTCTTCTATAACGAACGATGAAGATTTCTTTGTCTCTATCTTATAAAGTAAGAGTACAG